GTGGAACAGACCATCAATTACTCATATGCAAATTCAAACTGAAGCTGAGGAAAATGAAAACAAGTCCGTGAGAGCCAAAATATGACCTTGAATATATCCCACCTGAATTTAGGAATCATCTGAAGAACAGATTTAATACATTAAATACTAAAGATCGAAGACCAGAAATGTTGTGGGATGACATGAAGAACATCATCATACATGAAGAAAGCAAACAGTCAATTGAGAAGACAAGAAAGACTCCTTATAAGGCCTTTGAAATCATTGGGTCTGGCCCTGCCAAGGCAACCACAATTGCAGCCATCATATTAGAGGTCAACTGATGAAATGTTTGGCCAAATAGAGCAGGCTGATTTTTTGCATGTGTGTGGTTTTAATTTTTTTATTTTTATTGTGAATGATATGATAGTCTACATGGGAGAACATTAACTTCACATTCATCCTGTCTTATTTTGTTTCATTGAAATGATTACAGTTCCCTGCATGCATCATCAAACAGCCAAAGGGCACAGCCTGCAAGATTGCCCTCTGGCTGTCAACACACAGAACCTCTTCCTTCCAGAGTCCAGAGTCCCCAGCATCTCCAACTCTCCACGTCATTTTCTCTTCCTTCCTCTCTAGTGTGACTTACAGGGCTGGTAAAGTACTAAATGTTTGACCGTCAAGTCCAGATTTCCATCGTCTGTGATGAAGTGTTTTGAAAGGCTGATATCAAATTCAAAGCCAATGTCAGATTCTAAGAATTTTGAATGGACTCTTCCCAATATGAAATTATTGTTATATAATAGGTGTATAGCATGCCCTTTTTTACTGTCTTTTATTTCCACTTTGGAGCCCTGTTGTGGCACAATAGGAGAAGCACTGGACTGCTAACCTCAAGGTCAGTGGTTCAAACCCACCAGCCGCTCCTCAGAAACCCTAAACAGGGTTGCTATGAGTTGGAACCAACTTAAAGACATATAACAACAACAACATTTTTGTCCTTCAGAATATTTCTCTTAATATCAGTAATACTAAGTTTATTTGCTGGGATGCTTACATTAACAAAGATTTATCTAAAATATGAAAAAAATTCCAATTTTAGATATTTTATGACTGACATTCCAGTCATAAATTGCTTTATCTGATCTCTGTCTGAAATACATCTGGAAGTTAATGGCGTCCTGGATAAATTTTCTCAAATTCAACCAGAAGGACTCAGCTGTTTCCCCTAAATTTGACAAGAGCAAGGGGCAAGTCATAGCAGAAAAAAATTACCACTCAGAATTAATCATAATATTTAAACAATTAGAATTTTACTTTATTTCAGAATAAGTTTACTTGAAAAATGCTATTTACTAAAGCCATGATATTGTTCATATTGACAAAACTTTATAGCAAAACCTTGGTACATGAGCATCAGTAATTTGAATACTATACGGATATAGAAGATATTTTAAAAAATAGAAATGGTATATTCAAACGGCTGTAATAGGCACAATCTATATGCTTGTGTCTGCAAGCATTATATGATAATTCATTACATGTGATTCAAGGAGTTGCAGATTTTTTAGTACTATGAACTAAAAAGACACAAGTGAGTATCAGTTAACTCTTGTGTTGAAAAAGCATCTATTCTCAAGACTACAAAATAGGAACAGCAAAGCCAAACCAACAAATAGTTCTTTAGGTTTTAGAAGTGATAATTTATGGCTTTTTCATGTTCCTTTTTGAGACTGGCTACCAAGTCTGGCAAGTGGAACGTTAAAGACATCATTTACAGTTTCAAAATTAGAAAACAAAAATTGAGCTTGATCTGTAGAACAAAATTGTGAGGTATTATATAGCAAGGAAACTGGGTTCCTCCCACCAACTTTTTGGCATAAAAATCTTTATGCATAAAAGTTCTTCAAATGACATGACAGAAAAAAGATAAGAATTGACTTTAGGTTTTAAGTAACTATTAAGAATATCATCTTCTAAGGCCCCAGAAAGTAAATTTGGCCCTTTATTTGAAATGTTATTGTTTTGTTTTTTTAATATGTGGGCTGAAATACGTATTCACACTGGTTCAGCTGATGACAATGTATTCATGCTGGTAAAGACAATCATGCGATCAAAAATAAGAAAAAAATCATACACTTTTCAGGGTTTGCTATTACTACACCAAATTACATCTAAAAGGCAAAAATGCACATTTTAGCCTCTCAAAGGTTACATTTTTCCACTAGCAATTAAACATAAAAATACTGCATGATTCACTTTAAATTTATCTATCAGCTAGTGTGTTAATGATATGAGGGGAACAGAATTCTTTTTTTCCCTTTAAATCTATAATGCACTTAAGTCATGTGGAACGAAAATCACATGCAATAAGGTAAATCATGAAGAAACATTAAATACTTCAAAATGCCTACTACAGTGTGCCAGTAACAATGCTGTCTCTATAGCGCAGAATTCTGTTGCTGCAATTTCTAGGTCTTTAATGTCATTTTTGTTAATTTTTGGATATGGGAAGTTCAGAGAATTGGGGGATTCGGTCTCTCTGGAGATTAGCCCATGATTTCTGCAGGCTCAGTGACCAACTTGGATCCATCCCATGCCGTCTTGAACTGTTCAGGAACCGGAAATTCTCTCTGGAAGAACAACAAAGCTATTTCAGCAACGTTAGCTTCATTTTGAAAACAGGTAGG